TGTATACAAAATCCGTTATTTCCTCAAAAGAGAACGAAAACGAAAAGTCCAGATTTTTGTCTAGAAAGAAAGAAACAATCATTAAAATGCAATCGTTAACAGGCGGACTGAAATACACTCAACTACAGCTATCATTTTCAACAAAAGCAAAATCAACTATGAGGTCGATGTATGAAAATGTGATCGTACTCTTGGTATGAAATCTTTTTTATAAGATCGTTGAAAGTTATTAAAATAGTCTCAAAGGCTTGTTGTATGATGAAAGACAATTTGCTAATAAATCTGTCATTTATAGTCTTTCTAAGAGAAAACTCACACTAACATTGGTACTGTATTTCAAGGTCATTCTAAAACTTTATAAAGGAAGAAAGCAATGTAACAACGAAACAATATTCTAATAGGAGGCGACGTTTTTGAGAAGATCAGTGTCCCAATGAATTATTCAAAGTGTCTAAGATTTCAGACAAAATGAAACATCGATCACGGCTTTGCAATCGCTTGCATCTGGAAGTTATAGATATTTTCTATGTGTACAGGCAAAAAACACAGCGCAAGGATTAACTCCATATAGAGATCAGTTTTTTTAATGTTCTTGAGGCATCGAAATGATGTTGAAGGCCTTTGCTTTAGACTCAACAGAGAATTCTCTGCACTATAGAATCCAGTATGCTGCACATTTACACCGCATTCTTTAACTAGTATTGCTGTTTAGATTGCTGTTTTCAAATATAACGTCATCTGAAATGACTAGTTTTTCTTGTGTGCTGATATTGTTTACAGTTTTGATGCCTATGAACAAGCGGTCGATCCAAAAAGATAGCCTTAGACATGCCAAATATTTCTATACCCACTTTCTTCGCTCAGTTTTCACATTATTTCATAAAAGATTCAGAAACTGAAGTTACTGAAATTTTAACTTATGCGTCGCAGTATCTGTGTTTATTCTACCTTATTTTTTCAAAAAGCGAAATATTATGTGACGATTGAACATATTCGGCTTTGTAGAACAGAAAATTCTGTATCTGTTTAGTCTAGAATAAAGTTCTCAAACATCATTTGAGTGACTCAAGAGCAAAAAACAAAAATATCCTATTTCTTATGCGACACCTACCATTGCCAACTGATCCAATTGATACGTTATAATTACTAAAACTTAAAATAGCATCAATGTTATTGTATTCGATTAGTATCTAAATTTTAAAAAAATACCAAAGTAAAGCAGCGTAACTCAGTCGGCTAATGGACAGACAGCGTACTTCAAGCATACGAAGTTCGAATCCCGGCAAAGGCGGTCGCGTGATAGTCTTGGACAAGCTATCTAATGCTCATTGTCTCGGTACTTTTGAGTACAGATGCAATGGGAGAACCCTATTTCAGTGGCCATTGGGCTGGAGAGATGAGAGAGTTAAAGTTTAAAAAGAAAAAGAAAAAAGTTAACAGTTAGATTAAATATACGTAATAAAAGTCGACAAAAAACATTAAAAAAATACTGGAATAGTGCATTGATTTTATAAAATATTGTCAAATGGTTGTCATATAATCGTTTAATTTCCCATTCTGAATTTAGTGATGGTAATGATAAATAAGAATCAGATTCATTAGCAAAAAACGACTTACAAGTGAAAATATAATTAATGTAATCAATCCCATTTTTGTTCACAATAAAATACATAAAATACATGTGCAATAGATCGATTTTAATTAATTAATGTCTGCTATTTAGTATATACTGTTTAACCTCATTCAATTTCAATAGTTTTATTCACAATTAATTATTGCAGTATTCATTTAGCTCATTGTTGTTCTATTCTAATTATTACAATGAATAACTAAATTTGATGAAATTAATAATTAAAACTCATATAACCAGTTTTTAATAACACATGTTATCTATTCTAACTGTGAAGATAGTGTGTGGAGTGCTGTTTCAACATTGCTAACACATGTACGTTTATTTTCCGTGTGAATACATAAATTATTGACAATTGTCATTAATTATGTTGAGCTTACGTAACATGAAGCGTTTCAACATCATTTTTATATCTACCATATATAATTATCCAGCGTGTTTGTTGCTGAAATATTTGAAGTGTAACCGTCTGGAGAGGACATAATAACTGGTTCTTAGTATTTAGGAGGTTTTTCGTTGTTTATTACCCGTTATCGAACACAGTGATGGACAAAAAATGCAAACTTATTTTCAATGATAATGGCATAGTATAATCTGCGCTACTGTCGATTTATTGCTGGAAACTAAAATTTTGATTTCTTTTGCATGAAATATCTATGCCAAAGCTTGAATTCATCTTCGCTTAAGAAGTGACACTACCAAACATTAACAACTTATCTGTCAATATATGACGTACTGAAAGTTGTTTTATAAAGAAAGAAAGAGAGTAAAAGTGCTCACAACTAGGAATTGCATCTCTTTAGATTAGTTAAGCGTCTTCTTTTAGTAAAATAATAATTTCTACCACATGTCAACTAAATAAATCTGCAATAAGAATGATAAAAGCTGAAAATTTTATTATTATACAACAAAGTGTATAATCTGTAATTTCAATTAATAACACTCAACAACAAGAAAAACAACTACTCTCAGAAAAAACCGGAAATGATAGAAGAAAAAGTTGTCTCTTTTTCTTTTCAGCTATGTAATGAATCTTGAACAAAAATCATGTTGTCTCAAGTATTCGTTGATTATAGTTAGCAAAACCAAATTGGTACCATTTTTCAATGACAAGAAATAATCTGTAGGATTATCCAGTATAGTTGTTCTGTTTGCACAAATAAAAATTAATTTTTCTAGCAATATTTATTTTTCATTGCATATCTGTTGAAATTGCTTAATATATGAAAGAAATATTGATGAAATATTGATAATGAACCACTACACCTATATCAATAACAATAAAAAATGAATCTACATGAATATTTTCTTTCTTTTCTCGTAGTTTGTTGAACGACCGATACATATTTTGTTATTAATACAAATATGAACATTATTATTTTTCTCATCTGTCTGCTATTACTAGCATTATATCATCCACTATAGAATCGTTTTTTTTTATCCTAATAATGGATAAAGTCCATATACCGACAAGTAGATAAAAAAAAAATATATGTGTGCATATGTTTGTGACATATCATACTTAGTTCAGTTTTACGTAATATTAATTGACAGTATGCCTATCTTTATTTCATATCTTTGGTTGATCTGGGAATAAGAAGAGTGCATTCATACAATCCATAAGAAGACGATTTAGGTACTGACAAGATATATAAAAATAATGTCTCATAGATGATCAATAATTATTTACAGGTGAGACAATTTTTTAAGAATATTTATTAATCCAATAAGCATTTCTGAATATACATCTCTCACTTTCTACGTTGAGAAAATTTTTCTTCCATGTAGGCCACGCTCAGAAACAGATATTTCATATTACATTTCTGTTTCTCTTGTTCTATCTCATCACCATATCATAAACATGTTAAGATATAGAGAGATAATCATTATGATATTCAGTTTTGTTCGTATATGTAATTGTGACCATCCTAATATCTTAACAGCACATACATATAAACATTTTCATTCATTTCCTTTTTGGTGTATGTAAAAACAATAAATTAATATTAATATTTGTGATAAATACAGCAAACGTACACGCAAGTAATTTTGAAACGAGTATTTCTAAATGTTTTACATATAGACATATTTATTCATTTATTTATTTCATACGACAATGATTAATTTGTCATACATCGATTAGTATAAAAATCATCGTTTTTGTTGAATAGAATTAACATAAGAGTGTTTTAATTTCATAAAGTATCTAGTATTTTAAGTCTAGTAGTATCTAGTATTTTAAGTATCTAGATTATTTAATTATTTAAAAGACTTAAAAATATATTAAGTGAAACAGTTTCATAAGAGTATACTAGAACATTGTCGATTTAGAAACTTTTCCTATATCAAACAAAGTTAGGTACATTCGTATGAACTTTTATCAGCCTTGAGTAATGAGATTTCTCAGATAATCGTTCCTTCTCATCATGCAGCCATATTGACGTGAAAAAGTAAATAACGAAGAAAGTTATAACACTCAAAAAGTGTAATGTAGTATACACAGTTGACGATAGCGATCAGGGTGTAAAGAATAACTAAAGCAAAGAGAAAATAGATTAGGATAACTCATAGTTTATACATCTTCAATGATAGAAGTCGTATTAGTTTTTTACTGATGGAATAAACTATCGTTCTACAATAAATCATAAACCAAACGATCTATGGAAGATGTGAATTTTTGAAGATATTTTTATCTCATTTGAAGTTCTAAATAAACAGATTATCCCTCGGAGAGTTCGACTGTCTTTTCTTTCCAACAGTCAGAAATCACATAAGACGAAAAATATAAGAGATTTTTTTTCTATTAATAAACGTAGTTAATTATGATCTTAGTTTTACACAAAATTCGAAGAGATATCCATAGCGATGGATAGGTCTATTACTCTTTGACTCTACTTTAGTTTACTATTATATAAATAGGTTGACTAGTATGAGAAAGAAGTTGCTTCTGTCTACAATATCACTGGGGAATATATTAAATCGTTGATCTAGATATTAGAACCTAGTGAAAGAAGTAAATCAATCAGTTCGTTGTTGATATACGATATACTGACTTATATCCTTGATATGTCCGGGACAAGAAACTTCAGCATTGTCCTTCATCCAATGTGTTTGTATGATTGAATAAATCAAATTAAGTTTGGATGGAATATACTGAGACATGTTCTAAATGTAATATTTTCATTGTGATATGTTTATTTTAGGCTTTTTACTGACCATCTTTTCTCTGATGCCATAATATAGGATATGGACGCATCTATACAGTATTAATAATGAAAGCGACGGTAAAAATATTTGTGGAAGCCAAAACAAAGTTATCATTCGACTTCGATACCAAGGCAAAAAATCACTTTTGAAAAATTCTAGAGATATGTTTGCTTCTTTTCCGAAATTTTCATTCTGCCGAACGTTTCAACAACAACAACCTCAACAAGCATGTGCTAATAATATTAAAAATGAAGTATACGAATGTAGTACGGATAGCAAGAATAATAACTCACAGAATTACGTATTACCGCCCACTAGCATCAATTCACATCATACAATATCAGATGAAACAAAAATTGTTGAACAAGCCAAGAAGTCCGAAAATAAAAAAGCATTATTATCGATTAAAAACGTACCAGGGAAAACCATTCATTCAGTGACAGTTAATGGTAACATGAGTAAATTAGCAATTCTAACAGACAATGAACAAAAATTGTATCCAAAAAATCTGTCATTATTTGATGAAACACAAGCGACCAATAGATCATCGTTAAATGATCGGCCAACACCAGTGAAAATAAATGGTATACACATATGTTTTACTTTAGTGTGGTTAGTTAGCGAATGAAAAGTGAGTTTTTTTCAAGTGTCAGACAAAGACGATAGTGGTGGCCAAGTATCGAGTTGAAAAAAATGGGATGTTTTTATCAAAAATTGACTAGGTCAGACATACATCAAAATAGCCTTTATGTTTTCAGTATAGTCGAGCGATATCTTGTTCGATTCCTGATGATGATTAGATCACGAATAGTTAGACTGTTTTAAATAAACACGTATACAGCACGTTCTCGTAGACAGATGGGGCCCCGCAAGCATGATCAAAGTACTATTTCCTATTTTCAGCTGACTCTTGTCTCACAAACAAAAAAAAGGTCTACCATTTAGTTTGTTACCACGTGTAGATTCCAAAAATAGCATGTTTATATAAAAATCTGTCATTCAAATAAAAATTGTTGAATATAAGCACAGTTTTACGTAAAAAGATCAGAGCTAAAAGATCTATTCTGATCATCTAGTTGATCCAAGTCTGACAAAATGATTGTTAGGATTTTCGTCCTTATATCATCGTACCTAGCTATGCAGTACTACGTTTTTGAGAAAATGTTCTTCTACATAACTGTCGAACTTTAACTATAGCTTTCAGAATTTGAAAGCAACTGACGTTAGAAAACTCTATCAGTTACAGATCTCTTTCCTGTTAGGAGAAGGGCATTATTAAATGTCAACTGATATCCCAAAGCAAATGTTGTACTCTCTTGTAGATAGTGAGAGTTCCTAACTACCACAAAAGCACATAATTCGATGCATTCTTCATTAAACATCGTTCTTCAAGAGGAAAAGAAACATTTGTATTTAATAGGGTAAAACAATTCTGTTTTGAATATTTAAAATTTTGTCATACGCACTTTTCTTATTGGTACTCGACAAAGTAAGATATTGACGAGGAAGAAAATGAAGTTCTATTCTTATGTTGTTTTGTTAGATGAAAGAAATTTGAGTTCAAGATCATTATCATCAATTCAGAACAAATGGGACGAAATTCATTCAAATAATCGTGTATCATCATCATCAGCTGTCAACTGTTTACAAGAGAAGGCACAATCATCGTCACGATTAATACCAATTACACATTCAACGTCCTATTCTAACAGCAACTTTTCCCCAAACATATCAGATATATCATCGCCTTCAATATTGGCTAATCAACTACCAAAGCAAACACAGGTTGATAATCGAATCATAGTTTCCACAAACAATAAACCTTGCTCAGAAACGGCTACTAAAAATACAGCAATAAATAACGACATTAAAACTTTGAATTATGCCATAGACTGTCACCTTGAAGATTCAACATATGATTTTGCCGAAGAGTTTAAATCGATTATTGGTATGTGTAGAGTATGAACATTTTCTATAACTCGTTACACCTGTATCTTGTTGGATACAGATGAACTCGCTAAGCACGTATAGAAATATAGTAAGAGATAGATATTCAGGATATAGAGAACACCAAGTACTTTTTCTACAAAACCATAATCTATCTTCTAAAATTGCAAATTGATCGATATTAGATGCAGTGCTATTCTCTTTTTTTCTTCATCCTCTTTTATAGTTCACAATGGCACAAAGTCATACTTTCGCACTGAAATTAGACAATCTGACAATGCAACAGCGCAAGATCCACAAGAACCGGTAGAAATGAATTGCGAAGAAAATGATGTATATAGAATAGATGAAGTAGAACTTTGGAATAAAACAATATGGTATATTAGTGAGTTAAGAATAAATCGTCAGCCGTTCTGTCGTAGTCATTGGGTAAATAGTCAGGATAAAAATCAGTATCATTCTATTCATCAAAAGTTAAGCAGTTCGGTATGTGATCTCAAATACTCGACCGAGTCAAATTTATTAAATAAACAATATGCAACGGATAATGACGGCACTATTCGTCAACCGGTCCATTCATCATTATCATTACAAAATTTTGACTTATTGAGCAGTGAATCAGCAATTATTAGACAAAAATCGGAAGATAACATTTATTGTTTAAGGACTGATTTACAAAAGCATACTACTAATAATGTTTTAGCTGCATTAAGTATTCAAGAAGACGACAGTAAGTAAAAACAAACAAGATTAGCTGGTTTCTATTCTAAAATCGAAAATTTTTAAAAATTATAGATAAACATTCAAAAACTTTTTATTTTCAAAATATAGTGGAACGAAACAATAATCTGATTACTAATGAAGTTATCAAAAAAAAACTTCTTGATATTTTGAACGATGATGAATTAGAAAATGCATGTATTGAAGACTTGGATTATGAATTTGGAAAAACAGCATTGCCAACAAAATATCGTAGTTCATCGGATGAAGAACTATCAAGCGATGAGGCACTTTACGATTCAGCCAATACAGACAATAATTTAAAATACAACACGATTTCAACATCCTACGATGGTGGACTATCATCTTCCAACTCTGTTCTAACAAAATCACGATTACATCGAACAACATCCGATAAACAACATACAGAAGTCACTGTGTCTAAGAAATATCTGAATAAAAAGATAACAAATATGCTATCGTGGTATTCATCACCATTGCCACATTGGCGTACAGACGATTTGGGATCGTACAATCTAGATGTGAATAATAATAATGCCCTAACATCGACTCCGATAATCAAACATTCTACAAGAAAAAAGTCAGATTCAACAACAATGATAATATCATCAACGGATGATTCAGATGAACACATAAATCAAGTTAATGTCAATGATCTGCTCAATTGGAAAACGTCTTCAAAGTTAATACAAACAGTTGATTATGGAATGGTAGGAAATAAACGAAAACATCGGTATCGGCATTATCGACGAAAAGAACAATATAGAGCGATTCCTAATCAGAATATTCCACCCCTTCACACGTCCAGTTCAACTTTACAAAGCAAGAATGATACAACAATATGCATATAAAATACGCTTCTGTTTTTATATTTATTAGTCTTTCCATATGTAGTTTGTTAGGTACTGCTTTTATACCGAATATGCAGCGCAGGATAAGTTGGCTTGATATATCAATATTTTTGACAAACATTCTCTTATAGATGTGTGCCACTCACCAAAAAGCGTGTGTCACACAGAACTCGGCGAGATCTATTCAGTTATGCTATTTCTGATGTTCAGAATTCATTACTGCCAGAAATACATGCCAAAAATCGGTGCTTTCCCCTGGGGACAATATAGCAAAAATAGCAGTTCTGACAACCATTCTATTGAGGATCTGTGTCATCGTCAAAAATACGCGTGTTACATACAACTCGATGAACTCTGTCTAATGGCATGGTCGCAGTCGAACAATTCATTTGAAGCATGAGAAATCGACGAATACAGCTAGAATTAGTGTAATACATGACATATTCCCTAAACATTCTCTGTGAAGCGTGGATCACCGACAGAAACTAATGGTTCGTATACATCTCGGCGAGCTGAATCCAAATATAGATCTTCTAAAACGTGTGCCTTTTTCTAAAATGAGTGTTTCATACTCAGCTCGATGAGCTCTATCGATTCATATATAACATGCATGTTAGAGGTTTAATCTGTAACTCTTGTGCTATTATTAGATGTCGTTAACATTGTTTTGCAGTTAGACATTTGTTCTGGACGTGTACTATTTATAAAATATTTTGGTAGAGCAGTAATATTGAAAAAACGTAGTAAGAAATACAGAACTGCTACCAACATGATTAATATAAATCACGGTGCTGTTATTTTGATTTATTATTGATATTTCGATGATGTGCACTCGTCATCATCAGAATAAACGAATGACACCAGATTTGAGTTAATAAGAGTACAAAAATGAAAATTTTTATATTGTATAGAATTGAACATAGTTAATCCTGAAAGAAAGCAATGAAGACTGCAGTTTGTTACACTTATAACGAATAGAGTGCTGTTTAATAAGTGAATAGTTGAGAAGTACTTACAAGTCTTCTCGAATTTTAACTGTGTCTGGCAAATCCTGTGTTCTTGTTCTGCTTTCTGATGGAATATCGAGAATACAAAATGATGAAATTAGAAGATGGATTTTTAACACGGCTAGAAGTGTGAGTCATAATTGGACACATTTTCTTTTCACATGTTTGTCTATTAAATTATGTCTGACTTCTAGACGTGTTAAAAATTCATTTTCTCACTTTATGTTATTCTTCCGTTTATAAAGATTCTAAACATTTAATGGAAACGTTTTAAAGTTCAGAAAGACAACGATGCGTGAAGTCGAAACTTTTTCGGAATGTGCTGTAACTATAGTAGTCTCTCATAACAGCTCGCGCAGCCAAACATTGTACACCATCATAGAAAGATGTGTTTTCAATGAACTAGCATAAAGACCAGATGTATCCTCAAGAACTAATCTGACATATGTTTTGTAAGGATGGAGACAACGATAGTTCAGTGCACTAGCGATCTGCAGAGCAATTATGTTTCGCATCACTTGCAAAAGCATAAGAAAGTTTTAAAACCTATAGTACACAAAATCGAGGATGAATGATGTGCTAGGCGATGCTTCTGGGAGTAATAGTTTGCCCTTAAAAGTTGCGCGAACACACGTTCTGTATCAGTCATTTACTGAATAAGATCCATTCCATTTTTATGCAAAATGAAAAGGATGAATTTTTACTACTCTCTCTAAAAAGAAAAAGAACCATATAGTATGCATCATACTTTCCTTCTTTCTGCGTTAGTTTGACCCGGATGAATTCATACATCTTATTTTAAGAGCTTTTTGCACGAGCTGTGTCGGTCTTATTTCAATAACAGACGGAGAATCCAATCACCTCTTTTGTTTTGTGTTCGTAACTCGTAATAAAGCTTTTTTCGTTTCACTTTCAACTAGTAAAGGTAGCTACGTACTTCACTAAATAGTGTCATGGTTCTACTGATTAGAACGGTATTATCCCTTCGAGATTTTAACTGCAGTGAGGATAAGTATCTGAAAGTAACATGTTTTCAGTCTTTCCTATTTTCATTTTTCTAAATTATACGTTGGTTGACAAATACATAATCTTCTCGGTACTGATCACAATCTGATGAGCAAGACTAGCGAATTGTCGATACTTCGGTACCGGTATGTATACTGTTTTCGCGCAGTATCGAAAATTTCGGTTCGGTACCCCTGTTAGGTATCGTATCCTTTGGTACCAAGGAAAGTACCGAAAAATTCGATACTTTCGGTACCGCTAATGCCTCTATCAATGTTTGGCAGCTGATACTGAATTGCATCTGCTGTTGTTTTTTCTGGGTTCAGCTACATGCTATACTTTCTTGTACGCGTGTTCATGATGGTCATATACGGAACAGCTGACCCAAACAGAATATAAATCTGTTTGTCTCCTTCTTTAACTTTGCTGAATAACACGGTGTATGCAATGTAAAGTAAAGTAATAAGATAACATCTGTATTTTACAATAAAAATGGTACTATTTCAACAATAAGATGGAAAAAGAGAAGACTAAAAATACCGTGAAAAATGAAGCGACGAGGTCTTCGCGATTTAAGGAGGAAAAAGCTTCTTGTGAGTTTAAAAATAGATTTAGATAATGAAAAAAACTTCGGTACTTTCGGTACCGGTACCGAGTTGGTACCGAAAGCTTAGATACTTTCGGTACGGTTCCGATGGTTGATGCCGACAATTACCTAATCAAAACTACCTTTTATCGGGTGATAAGACGGATTATCTTTTTTTGGGTTTGCTCAGATACCCCAGTTCATCTTTTTATGCTGTCTCAACCGTATGCCAGAAAAATATGATTTTTCCATCAGTTCTAGTACACATTCAATGATGACGATTTGTTTTATTCGAGCTCTATGTCTTGGGAGGAACCAGAATTATCAAGATCTTTTCCAAAACCGTTTGGTCAAAGGTACTTCTTATCAAATCTGCTTGCATACTTACGGGGGGGGCGGCGGCGGGGGGGGGGGGGGGGGGGGGGGGGGGGGGGGGGGGGGGGGGGGGGGGGGGGGGGGGGGGGGGGGGGGGGG